AAATCGGGCATAGCGGTGAAACCATCTGCACAGAAATGAATTAGATTCATATAATTACGATAAGAAAAACTACTAATTCTAATTCTTCCCGCTGCGGTTCCACCTATTAAGATATGTAAGGAATGCTGTACCAATAAATCCCATCCGTATATAAGGTCCTGCAGAAACGTCTTTGTCAGTTCGAGCATGAGCAACGTGGTCATCGTCGGATCGGTGGCCACTTTGGCCTTCGTGATTGCTTCCCTTGTGACCATGATGTCCCTCCTTCGGGACATCAACGATCTTCAGATGGAAGTCAAAGTCAGCATGGAAGAGTTCAAGGTGCCTCAAATCAATCCTTTCAAGCATCCGTTAATGGATTGGAATTTCAGGTTATCTCGGATGACACTTGGAATCGCATCCTCATCAAACATCTAAATCCTAGTGGTGTATCGGTAGCTCCGCCTACTTTCGCATCACTTTACGGGCGTCGTCCACGTGTGGCAGGGTTCCCAGAGCAATGCAACTGTGGAGAAAAGTCCAGAGACTGTCCACCTGGGCCGCCTGGTGCTCAAGGACCGAGGGGATTACCCGGAGAACCTGGAAGACCCGGCGAAGATGGAAGACCTGGCGCCCCTGGCCTCGCCATCGCCGTAACTCATGCCATCCCTGGTGGTTGTATAAAATGTCCAGCAGGACCTCCTGGACCACGTGGAGAAGCAGGAGATCATGGACCAGCTGGGCCGCCTGGATCCTTTGGAATACGTGGTGCTATGGGCAATATTGGACCAATGGGAGATCCCGGTCCACAAGGAGAAGAAGGACCTAAGGGAATAGCCGGCCGTCCAGGACAACCAGGACCACCTGGAGAACCTGGTACCATGTACAGTCCGGGTATGCCAGGTATGCGTGGTCCTCCAGGACAACCCGGTCCTCCAGGAGAACAAGGCCATCCCGGACCCGACGGAAAGAACGGGCTCCCAGGGCCTCCAGGTCGTCCTGGTCGGAATGGCAAAGACGGCAACCGCGGAAGAAATGGACAACCCGGACCGGTAAGTTTCGCGTATGATGCAGAGATTTCATTTAAATCGATTGATTACAGAGAGGCGAAAATGGAAAGCCGGGAATGGATGCCATGTATTGCCCATGCCCACCACGCCGCAAGCGCCGCTTATAAAATATTTGTCGAACTTTACGAAGCAAATATATGTTACACATTGAGAATTAGTAAACAATGGGAAGTGAGAACACTACCCAGACTGCTCGATTACATCTATCGATCCTAAAACTTCAAAGGTCGTCAAAAAATACTTGGCGTTTTCATATCTCTCTTTAACGTACATTACCACTTTCACTGACAGTGTTTATCCCAATTACATATACTTCCAAAAACGTAAATTCATCTTGTCAGTCTGCTTCCATTCATAGCTAATTTCGTAGCCGAAGCTTCTTAATTGTAAAATAGGTAGAAATTAAGGGGTATTTCAAGAAGCCATATTTTTTAAGTGCAAGTTAATTGCAAAAATAAGAAAAATTAGCCCATCTTAAATTTGATATATGCCATGCGCAGGTGTGCTCAAGCTAACATTCACAGCAGGTTTGATTCAAAATCGGCAATCATGTGAACACTTTTTGTGGCTCCAGTAAGGTTGCAAAAAGATTTTATTGCAGAGATAAAATCTCTCAATCACAGCTCCAGTGGCGCTGTAAATCACTGTTTCCGAAGTCAAGGCGCAAGTACAGTAACA